GCACTAGTGAAAAATACGTTTTTCCCGCCATTTAAATCAGGCGCTAGCAGAGCCATCTATCGGCAGACATTTCACGAAAAACATAGAAAGTGGGCACAATATTTTCCCCATTTTTTGTTCATTTTCCCCGGCACCATTGGGTTAATGGTAATAATATTGATTATGATTTTGATAATAATGCTAAAAAAAATATTTTAATAGAGAAATATTGATATTGTTATAAGTAATATTTATAAGGATATGATTATAATTAGATAATGACAGTTATGATAATGATAGTGTTGATTTACTGATGAGGAGAATAATGGTACTAATTAATATAAATAAAGATCATGATGAAAATAAACATATATCAAATTTCTTAGTTTACCACACTGACCTGTCACTACTGTTGACTCTGCTGTTTCTGAGCACTTTCAAATATTGATACTATGGTAATAGTATTGCCACATTCCAAATTTTGTGCACTAGGCACAGAAAAAAGAGCCAGATGGTGTGAAAACTTAGGGCCCATATTTAGCCATGTCTTCCACTTCACAATGCACCTCTGACATAACTGTGCTTGCCACAGTTTTTCAACAATACTGATTACTGTGTCCCCATAAGAATCCATCAGTCATCCAGCAAGATTGGTTCTCCAGCACCCTTCAGGTCCCAATGATGTTGGAAAATTGATTGTCAACCTATAGTAATAATAATAATCATGTGAAATAATGTAGCGATACAAAGATAGTGTAGGTTCATATAAGATAAGACTTTTGGGCAATTTTTATTTCAGGTGTTGTCTCCTGATGGTTCAACTCAGGTTGGCAAAATCAGCAAGCAGTGGACAGGCCTTGCCAAAGAAGCCTTCACTGATGCTGATAATTTTGGAATTACATTCCCCATAGACCTTGATGTGAAAATGAAGGCTACCTTGCTTGGAGCTGTGTTCCTCATTGTAAGTATAAGATGGGGAAAAGTATGATTTTCAGATTTATCAGAAAATAATGATATGATACTCATATATTTTGATTAGAAAATGTCTGTATTCATCATTTAGCTTGAAATATTGTTTCTGGACTTCTGAGGTTCACAGAAAGAAATCAAAATATAACTAACAAGCATTTTCAGGATGCTATTTATTTTGAGAAGTGGGACACAGACTGAGCCTGTACAAAAGGGTAAAAAATGACCAAACATGAAGTATTGCTATACATTTAGAAAATAAAGGCAGATTGGTCTTATTTTTATGCTTTTATTCACTTGAATAGGTAGCTAAGAAGAAATATCTTACACTATGTAAATGTAAACGCTTACTAGCTGTATGGGGGGAAAAACTGTATTATAGGCTCCTCCTTACTTTGCATGATCATTATTGGTGTATATTATTTGCAGTATCTTTAGCAAATCCTCTGAGAACCCAAAGAACAGTACAATTGAATATGAATGTGGCTACCGTGTGTGACTGCATGATTAACTCTATTAGCTGTGTCAGAACAAAAGTTACAGCAACTAGTGTGTAGGTTTGTGTGAGAAACCAAAGCAGAAGCAAATGTTAATGAGTAAAGTGTATATAGTAAGGCTCCTGAGACCCAAAGATGGAAGAAGGCTGAATTTAAGACAAAATGAGGAGTTATATAGTCTGGAGAATGAAGCATGATGGGAGAGGCAAGGAATGTTCTGGGTAGAATTAAAAGATGAATTCTATTGGAAAACAGTCGTAGTGGGAATTGTCTAGTAAAGCTGAATATGGTATATTGTGATAATTTTGGGCTTGTGGAGAAAATGGAGGAGATAATGGAGGCCAGTAGGCTTGTGGTATGCGTGCGGAAAAGGGCAAGAAGAGGTCTAGAGATGGAAAAAGCATCTAGAAAGATTGTAATAGATAATTGAAGTTGTGACCCAATATACTTTCCAATCTTTGTTTGATGAGAAGGATACTGAAGAGCAGTGTACAGGTTTGTGATTTAGCTATGGTAAACCAGCATTAACCTTCAGGCCTTGCTGATAAAGGACTATATACAAAGGGATCACTAGACCTGGTTCAATAGAGCACACTAATTGTGGTCCTTCAATCCTATCAATGCTGAGAGGAATGTCTGTAACCATGTAGGGTTTGAGGGAGAAGTAAATGAAGCTTTATTGTATAGGTCACCCTCTGATAATGGGAACACCCAAAGTATATAGAAGTATATATGTAGAATTTCAGTACTGCATATTATGATATATTAGATCAAGGTAAATACATAATTGATATTCATGATCATCAACTTCCATATTCATATGAAATATTAAAGATGGAATTATGACTCTTAACCCCTTCACAACGAGTCACACCTATAGGTGTGAAAACAAACCACTCGAAATGTGGCGTGCGGCTGTACGCGGCGGTGGTACGCCAAAGCGTGGCAAACCGATGATTTGGCATGATATACTGAACTCCCACGCTCAAAGTCGGCATGCTCGCATTGATGGCCAAAGCATAGAGTTTTTTTTTAGTTTTCTTCACCCATCACCATCGGGTTAAGATGTATATGTATTTTGTCAGTTCTTAATTTCTTAATTGCTAGATGAATAATATTTCATGTAAAGATTTGATGAAGATTTCAACCTAATGCTGCTGGAAACATGGGATGTTCACTGTATTATTGTTTTGTAAAATGCTTTTACACGTAGATGGCTCCACAAGTAGACTCATGACACAAGTTTTCTGCTTCCCATGCTTCTGGATGATGTTACCATCATGTCTTTAAAAAAACTGGCTTAAAGGGCAGGTGACATGAATATGACATCATGGGAAAATCTGGCTGTTAGCCAGAGACACTAACTTGAAGACCAGGGCAATGGGAAAGACTTGCCATATGTGCACAAACCTCTTGGAGGATGATTAGACTCAGGCTTTTGCATTATTCCCATCAATAAACAAATGTGGAATGTAATGTTCATGAACCATGACTGGAAGAACACCAGCTCTATGGAGACACAATTTCTATGCTCATCATCCCATTCCTGGCAGCCTAACCAGTGGCGCAGGTTTTTACAGATAATTTAATATTACAAGCAAAAAATGGAGCAAGTAGTCTTACAAATAATTTAATATTGCAAGAAAAAATTTAAATGATGAAAATAACAAAATGTTAAGTATTATTATTTTTCTTGCTCTGAGTTATAGACTACCTAGAGAGGTGATATGGAGTCTGTTCAAAGAAAACAGTCTATCTGGATAATGCAAATCAAATGACAGATATGGACATTAGAAAATGGCCAAAAAGCTAAAAAGGCTTATGCATAAAAAAGAGAATGTAACATTGCAAAGAAGAGGCATAGTCTTGTCACTGCCCACAAGCCAGTCATATAAGTCTAATGCCAGGATTTTGAGCCATGTGATTGCTTTGAAGCAACCAGATCCAAAAGTTTAACATCTAATTTGCTATATTGACATTATAATTATTACAGTGATATTAACAATACTAATAGGAGTCAAAAATAAAAAAAAATATTTACAAAAAAAAAAAAAAAAGGTAAACAGGTGAGATAAGTAGGATTAATAATTGATTCCTTGGTGACTTAAGCACTTGTGGAGCCATCTATATGTAATTACAATTAATTCACTAAACTTGCAGCAGACATAGTAGGTACATACATGCAACCCCCAGCAATATATGGTTAACAAACTTTAAAGTGTATAGAATCATCAATATTTTAGCTTTAGTGTGTGCATGTGTCCTTGCGTTGTGGGTCTGCTTCTGTATGTGTTTGCATTAGGATTTATGTGCATATAAACCAAAATTATATTTCATCTTTAGAAGATTATCCTTTATATAACCCAATGTTAGCGGGTTTATGTACTGTCCCCTTTAGATTTTAGTGAGTTTTGTTACATACAGATGGCTCCATGTGTGCTCAGCAGCAAGGAGTCTTATCAGTTGGCTTTAGTGACCAATCCTGATTTACCCATTCCTTGAATTGGCTGGAAAAGGCGTTTTTCTTTCCAATACAATTAATATTGACATTGTTATCATTCTTATTGTTAAATTGTTATTAAAATATTAATAACATCAAAGACAATGAAGTAATAGAAGTGAATCTCTCAAAAAATGAAGGAAAAGTGTAAACAGATGAGATAGGTAAGACTAATACCAGATTCCTTGGTGACTAATCACTTGTAGAGCCATCTATGTGTAAAGACAATAGATAAAACTTTTATTACAGTGGGCATGGCACTGTAGTCTTTTCACCTGCGCTCATTGGGTTAAAGGATGTACTTTGCAAGTTCTTCACTTTTGTTAGGATCTCTTCCAGTATTATTGTTTTATACATATTTTTGGTAGTGTGTGAACTGGAAACATATACAATTAATTTATAGATTTATAAATTTATAAATTTTCTGCTTTGGCTTACATTAACATTTTGGGCAATACTTCTAGATGATACATTTATCATATAGATCATAAAAAACACTCTTGTGTAAAGATTCAGATTCAGAATGTACTATAATTGCATAAAGAATGTAGATATTGTCATTTTAGAGTAACTTTGATGCATCTGAATTGATCTGAAATATTTTTTAGAATTTAATACCTGAAAATAAAAGTGTTATTTTTTATATTTTTGAAATGAGAAGGAAATAAGAATTAATTTATCATATATTTGTTTCAGGACTTCATGTTCTTCGAGAAGAAAGGCAACAAAGAAAATGATTCAGTTGGAATGCTTTAAGATGTACCAGTGGAGGGTACTGGTTGATATCAGTGTACTTAGCATTATCTCCATAACAAAAATGACCAGTTTTCAAATAATTATTTGGTTTAATAGAAAAAACAGACATCAAGAAAAACAGAAACTAGAAAGGACTGATTGTCAGTTATGTTCCTAGTAATATTGAATAGATGATAAAACCAGATATATCAGCATTTTTTGTTTATGAATGATGTGATGTTAAAAGACAACTATAAGAAGACAGAACTTGTATATAGTACAAGTATTTTTTGCTATCAATGTAAAATTGATTTATCATTTATTTTTATTCTCCTAGTTTTGCAAACTATGTCTAGTATATTCAAGTGTATCTATATATGTTCTAATATCTTGATGTATAAAAAGTGTAGTGTAGATAAAAAAAAGACCAATTAAAGATTGAGACATCAGCTTTCAAAATCCTTTTGAAGGTAACATCCAGATGGAATTCAAAATGTTGCTCGTGTTTTGCCATTATTATGTCAATATTTGTATTGTCTTGTGATTCTATTAGAGTATTAATGATAGGCTAATCATAAGGGAATTGAGTCTACCATTGCCCAGGGTTAAATGCATAAGAAAAGCCTTATGTTAGAAGTAAGTATTCAATATATCTTTTCTTTCCTTTTTTATGTCTGTCTTTATTTTTCTGAAAAACATTTTTCTTAAATGATTATTGAAAGTAAGTGTTGTTATGTTAGTTGGAGCTGTTTTAAAATTAGTTCTCTTTTAATCCATTAGTGCAGGGTACATACACTGCAGATTGTTTTGTTAGTTTTGTTTACACACAAAAGTGCTTGGGTGCCAAGAGTCACTTACTAGGCCTGCTGTTTCCTTGATTTTTATTTTGGAAAGTTTCTTCATTCATTACTGTTTTTCCTATCATTTTTAATATTCTAGCTGTAGTTATTGATATCATTAAGACATTTTTAATAATAATAATAGTGAACAGACTAGGAAAAAAATAAGATTAGGTGACTATTATTTCACAAAATGTAAGAAAGAAGTAGACAATTGAGATCAGGTTGGGCTAGCTTTTTACTCCTAGGTGACTGAGCACTGCGGAAAATAAGATTGACAAAGAAATTAAAGTAGATGCGGCATTTGCATATGCACTCCAGTTATCAATGGGTAATATTGAGTGCTGTCCCTGTACAGCTGACTTCCCAAAAACAACTGATCATTGGAAGGGATGTTTGTTCTTAATTTTAAGTGTCAGTGTCATTTAAAGCAAGGGCCATCACTACAGGGAGCACCAGAATGCTGTATCCCCATTTTCAGTGGTCCTCCCATCCTCCCATTTTTTACCAAATATCTGATCTCTCAATGGAGAGATCATATAATTAATCTCTACATTTCAAAGATACATGAGAACACAGATTTTATTAACCCATTCGCCCCACGTGGCAAGAATAGATGCCACACCCACTTTGATACACGTTTATTTTTTATTGTATTTACAATAGCCAGTTATCAAGAACTACCTATTTCACCTGTTTACCCTTTTCCTTCACTTTAGGAAAGTTTTTTTTTGTATCTTTTCAGTGTCTAAAATATTCTAATGACAATTTAATAATCATAACATCAATAACAATAATACCAGTATAGATAGCAATGGTATTAATTTTCCCGCCATTTCAATGAATGGGAAAATCAGGGTTGGTAACTAGGGCCTACTGATAGACTCCTTGCTGGCTGAGCACATGTGGAGCCATCTGTATGTAACAAAATTCACCAAAAACTACAGGGGGCACAACATAAATCCGGGGCGAATGGGTTAAGTTCACAAATATTTGGACTGATTTTTTATTTGTAATGAAATACAATAATATAAATTAGCTTGTAAGATCTTTATTGTTGTTATTATTCCTTAAATATTTTCAGTTGATAGGGAAAGGTATACAAAAAACACTTATTTTGCATCACAAACTATTAGTCTGACATTTATCACCCAATATGACTGTTTCCATTTTCTTATTTTCTAATAGATGTCTGTACTACTGACATATAGGTCTGAAATAACACACTCATGCTGGTGTATAAGATATTTTATGCATATACATGTTATTGTACTCTTAACACCTCCACTTCAAGACATGTTACTTGATGTTCAAACTGAGTAACCTAAGAGATGTCATATGATATCTTTACATATTGCTTACTTATTGTGTAACTGTGTGATGGCAAGGATAAGTCCGATTTGCGAAGCTGAGCCTCGCCCGGGCTATGGGGGAGCCCGGCCTATGCCGACTAATGTCGACTCGCTAACAGTGTGTCAGCAGGTGCTGACTCGGATGAGCTTAGTCCTTACCCACCGTGGTGCCCAGCCACAACAGTAACCTCCAGGCGACAATTGCAACTTCTCGCGCCTGGGCGGGGCGCGAACCGCCGACCCTTCAGATGAGAGGCCGACACGTTACCACTGTAATAGCCCGGAGGCTGTGATGGCAACTTTACAAGCTGTATATCAAAAAAACCAGAGGTGCCACATGTTGCTAGCCGGTTATTCAAATGTTTCATCTACACGTAAATACACTCTAATTAAATGAATTCATGCTGAAATGTGAATATTTCATTTAGATTATGTTATTACAATTCATATAAACTCAACAACAAAGAAAGTAAATGTTATGAAGAAACAATAGAATTATAATGAAGACCACTATTGTTTACATTTCATGGTCATATATGAGAAAGTCTGATACCCAATTACTTTGTTGTATATATTTCCATACCAATATGATATGATTAAAGTTAGGAGCCTAAAGATCCTTTTCTTTT